CACAAGCCACTGACCGCATGGAATGGGGACAGCTATGGTCCTGTTCCCCGGGTGTCATAGTTACACAGCCCTGAGCAAGCTCTCTGCCTGCCCCGCTGTGAGGTGAGAGCTGTAGTGCTTAATTACAGTCATTGTCACCAAAGAAATAGGAGGTGAGTCTACGGCCATTCCACCCTGAACGCGCCCGATCTCGTCTGATCTCGGAAGCTAAGCAGGGTTGGGCCTGGTTAGTACTTGGATGGGAGAAATAGGAGGTGAGTTTGTTGCTGCAGGGACTTAACCTAGAACATTTGGACATTAGAGAAAACAATGTCTGATGCTCTCTCTATCAATCTTTTCCTTCAGAATTAACTGATGGAATATATTTTTAAAAACACGCACAATTAACTGATGCAGGGAAAACACATAAGAAAATATAGCCGCTTAGACAAACAGGATTTAAGATGCAAGATTTTCTGTTACTGCAAGACACAAAGACACTGAAATTAATTCAAGCCCTATCTCCTGCTCTGGCTTACAATTTGGTCTCCTGAGGACCTGGGGGGATCAGTGAGTGTGGAAGTAGCAAGGAAAGAACAGAAGAAGTCAAAGCAAATAGAGATTTTAGAATGTCAATTGGCAGGAGCCTGTCAGAAAGCCCAGCTCACCGGCTGCCCGGGCATCCAGGACTGGAGCCCAGGACTCAGGACAGGTCGTCAGGGCTCTGTCCACCTCGTCTTGTTACCTCTCCCTTGGTTCTCAGTGCCCCGGCTCACACCCACATCAATGTCTGCAGAAGGCACTGCCCCTAGGGATGCGAGTCTCACGGAAACTGTCGGGGCAGAATGACAGGATGAACCAACCCTGTTCGTTTTGGCTCGAGTTCCAGCAGCTAGCAGAGGAACAGGCACCTGCTCATCAGATCACTCTCATGCCTCACTCTGATGAGGATTAACATGTAACATCAGAGAGAGGAGTGATTATAATAAGATCTGATGGCGCCCCCGATGTCTTCATTCTTTCTCCCTTTACTTCCTTTTTCTCTTCACCCTGCATCCTTTTTTAAGGTATTGATCCGCTCAACAAGCCTTCGTGGTGCCTGAGGCTTTGTGCCGGAGGCTGGGATTCCGAGAGAAGAGATTCAGCACCTTCCTTCAAGGAGCTCGTTCTCTAGCTGGGGAGACAAAGAACCCCAAGATTTCTGGCATGATCAGCACATGCAGAGGCATGGAGCCCGGACAGAGCAAGAACATTCAGCAACCAGCGAGAGCAGACACGGCCAGGGGAATGGCCACGCTGGAGGCTGGAGTGACGGCCTAAGTGAAGGCACTTGGACAGCAGCCCATATCACTTAATCACGTCTATTGATTCTACTCCTGAATATCTCTCCTGTCCATCCTTGGCCACTGCCTTCTTCAGACATCATCTCTCACCCGGACATTACCTGCTTTCAAACCATCGCCATTCAGCCATTGATTCCCATGGTTTTCTTTGATAAAGGCCTTGGATTTCAGATATGCCAAGCAAAAAGACAAATGAAGCAAAACATAAACTTTTTGTCCTTGCAAAATCCAGGCTTGTGCAAATCAAAATATCTGGGTTTACCAGCTTTCAAGAGTTTGTTTTTAGAAGATAAAAGGTAAATTCAAATTTTTTTCATTCCAACTTGGGAGAAAATATGCACCATCTTGAAGCAATGCCCAAAAAAAAAAAAAAAACACACAAAACAAGCACCCACAGATTTGGGGCCAATTTACTGATTTTATGGATCCCTTTGAGCTTCAGTCTCCTCACCTATAGGTAAAAGTGGAATTGGGTTGTTGTATGAATTAAAGATAATGCAAGAAAATCACCCAATTAGTATACTAGCTAACTGATACATGCAGCTTTTGTTGTTAACAAAAAGTATTAATTACTGGAAAACAAAGGCAATCAGGAAGTCATATTTGAGGATTGCAAAGTGCCCCTAACCTAAAAAAGGAACAGAGGAGGGGAAATACCACCGCATGCTGCGTGAGCTCAGCCATCTGCATCAGGAGTCATACCCCAGGGAACTGAGCTCTAGGCAACACCCAAGCAAACATCAGTGTAACCAGGGTGACCTCCCCACTCGAGAAGGCTTGTCCAGAGCAGGGGCCTGTGTGCGTGCTGTGAGCTGTGGGAAGGAAGTCTCTTCAAGAGCCGGAGAGGACAGAGGGGGAGCGAGTCTGGCAGCTGGCCCTTCAGGGTGTCTCCCGCTGTGCTCAGCGGTTCTGACAAGCCTGGAAGCCTCTACGTAGCCCTGAATGAAGATGAGGCCTCCTTGCTCCGGGGAGACTTTTCTCTAACCAAGGGTGAATCCAAAAGGACGCCCTAAAGCTACTGGGGTTGCTCTAGCCGGTCAAGTCAACCAGCTCAGCTCTGGAGGATGTTGGAGTCAGCAGATGTTTGCAATCAGATCAGTCTCCCTCTGCATGCGTGCACGCGTTCAGGGGAGTAGGGCTCCTGGACCAGCCACAGGGAGGTTCCGGGCCAGTTCCTGTGATAGAAAGAGGCCACATGAGCCGCCTGCTGCTCATTGCCCTCCACCCAGCTCTACGTCCATGTTCACCAGGAAACCGTCTATTGGTAACTTGACTTCTCACATAGGCTTTGCCAGAACACAGTACCCTGGGTGCACTGACAGCTTCTGAACCTCCCAAGCTAAGGACCACACGTGACCCCTGAGAGGTAACGTAACACCTATCAGTAGGGCCTCATATTCACTGAGTGCTGACCACCCATCAGGCACCATTCTAAATGCTTTGTGCTGACTCTCACGACCTCTCATGACAATCCTATGGAGGCAGGTGGTGTTGTTAGCATCCATTATCTGGGCCACCTAAGATAATGCAATTGATTAATGAATTAAGCAGTTCCCCCGAGATCACAGAGGTAGTCAGTGGCAGAGCTGGGACATTCTTAACCAGTACCCCACCAGCCTCCCTGAGCCCCCCACCCCAGGCGCTGGACAGAGCATGACCTCCGAATTGGGTTAATATGGGCAGCAATTATTAGTAACAGGAATGGGAGTGGTACCCCTTTCAGAGGTGTCCTTGGTTAAAACAAGAGAGGAACACTGCCTCTCATTCAGCCATGGGGCTGTGTCTCGCGGCCTGACTTTTCTAACCACCTACCCCCACCCACATGCACTCTCATGAAAAGAAGAAATGGGTCCAGGAGGAGGAGACAGGATTCCTGAGTGAAAACAACAGGAAATAGAACAAGATAAAAAGAACAGGAAATAGCTGGGGCCAATGGAACACTCCCCTTTTGCTATGGGGAAAGGCCAAGGGAGCAGTTTCCATGGTACAGAAGTGGGGGACAGGGGAGCGGGGGAGGTGTCAGGGACTAACTGGAAGGAGGGGGAAATTGGGGAGAAGGGGAACCTCTCCACCTGCCAGGAGTGCACACATATGGCTGAAACCCCAGCACCCCTTTCACATGCCTTCCTGTCCCTCTCTACCCTTCCTCCCTGCATCTGCCAGATCAAGTTTTGGTGACACTAGAAAAGGCCCCATCAGGATCTGTAGACAGGACCCTGGGCAGAGAAGCAGGGATGTGGGTCTGGAACGCCCTCGCTGGACCCTCTAGAGCACCTTTCCCTTTGGGACTGGCTGCGACACTGGGACTCCGTGAAGGGGGGAGCAGGGGTCTGCCGTGGGGTGCAGCAGTCTCCCCTCCCTGTTCAGAGGACAGATGGTGAGCCTGCCCCAGGAGTTTCTGCTTGGAAGCTGAAATGGCCTGACAGTGACTCAGAAACCACGGAAGTTCTCGAGGCTGATGGATTCTTATAGATTGTACGGCAGCTCTGCCCCTGGGCTGCGAAACCGCAGGCGGGCTGTGACCACACTCAAGGAAGGAGCCTTCGGCTGCAAATGGCTTCTGCCTTCTGAGTCTTAAAGCAAACCGACTCGGCGTTCACTCCCTTTGAGACGAACTTGCCTTGAATGTGTCTCCTTCTCCTAGAATTCCCCTCAATGAAAACATCATTTGGGTGTTAATAACGACAACAGGAATGGCCACCATTTACTGAGTGTAGCTTGTAGGTCAAGCACTGTGCTAAGAGAATCACTTCACCCTTATGGCCACCCCGGTAAGGCGACTGCTAACATTATGCCCACTTTATTTGTTTTTATCTTGTTGTTGTTTTTTAATTCTCACCTGAGGGTATTTTTCCATTGATTTTTAGAGAGAGGGAAAGACAGAGAGAAAGACAGAGAGAAATATCAATGTGAGGGAAATGCATCAATTGGTTGCCTCTTGCACGCACCGTGAATACGCCCGTAACTGGAATCAAACCTGGGATCCTTCGGTCCGCAGGCCGACGCTCTATGCATTATGCCCACTTTAAAGGTGAAAACTCAGAGGCCCAGAGAGAGAGAGAGAGTAACCTGCCAACTCACACTGCTGGTAAGTGGGAAGAGATAGACTTCCAACCCAGGTAAGCAGATTCCTCCAGGAAGCCTTCCTTGATGCTCCCCTACCCCCCAAACTTCCCCACTCAGAATCCTCTCTCTGTCCTCCTTGGTCTTGTTATCAAACAGAAAGAGTTTGTCCATCTGGTGCTAGCCAACACCAAGAATTGCTG